TGTCATATCTTAGTATCTGAGACATCACTCCTGGCCACCATGAGCACAAAGAAGATAAAGAGGGGTGTAATAATCCACGTGAAGTGGGCTGAGTTGATGAATTGATATTCAAAGAAAGAGCAATTAGTGTGAGTTTGTTTAGCAGGGCCACGGGGTCTTCAGTGGTTCTCAACCTTCTGGCCCTTTAAATGCTGTTCCTCATGTTGTGACCCAACCATAAAATTGTTTTTGTTGCTACTTCATAACTGTACTGTTGCTACTGTTATGAATTGTAATGTAAATATCTGATATGCAGGATGGTCTTAAGTGACCACTGTGAAAGGGTCGTTCGACTGCCAAAGGGTGGTAACCCACAGGTTGAGAACTGCTCTAGGTATTTCTCTTTCTCTAACAAATGAATGGCATAAAATATCCTCGGGTAAGGATTATAAAAAAAGATAGAGTAGTGACTAAGATTAAGACAAAGAAGGTGAAAGGAGCAGATTTTGCCTAATCAAAGTTCAAGGGCTTATGGATATTTTGGGGGCACATTTCATTCCAATGAAATGAAACCTAGAAGTACAAGTGTTCTCTCTTAACCATGACCAGCAAGGCTAGAGAATGGATGAGTCCTGAGTAGGGGAGATGGGGGATTGAGGAAAAGAAAGAGACAAAGAGACACTAGGAAAAGCCGGCACCAGGTGGAACACTATTCTCAGATGGAGAGACAATGACCCAGAGTTAGTGCAGCGCGATTATTGTATACAGCATTATACCGAAAGTTTTACTAGAGTTTAAGACAAAGGAAATTATGTGAAATCATGCTTAAAGATCAAGCTGCAATTCTTCCTTCTTGTGGCTTCTCTGAATCGTCAGGCCTGACAGGACCCTCATAATTGAATCCGCATCTGGTGCCTGGCTGAACTTAGATAATTACACCCACCCCTTGTCCCCTGAGCTAAATTTCAGGACTGATGGCATCCCTGCCTTTGGTGAGGGATGTCTCCAGGTCATGGCTTTGCAAACACTGCTGGACTCAGCCCAGGACCCTTGGCTCAGTTGCCCCCCAGGCACTCTCTACACAGAAGAAAGGCCTGAGGAGTGCCATTAGCAATGTGTTGCCACCTCAAGGCTTCTGGATGTTAGGTTGGAGGAAGGCTGAGGAAAGAATCATTCCAGTTAGTAAGGTTGGAGTTTAAGAAGACACTATGGCAGTGGATATGGTGAGAGACAACACGATTGATGCCTGAGGTAGTCCTTGTGGACAAACAGGCTATTTCCAAAAGACTTTCCTTTGTTTGATGTACCAGGCTCTGTTTTATTTTTCATCTTTGTTGTTGGAAGTATTACAGATGTCCCCCTTTAGCCCTCATTGACCCCCTCCTCTCCACTTCCTTAA